TAGAGCGGTAGTTCAGGAGGCCGGTACTGCGTGCAATACTCTCGACGTGTTGAAGGGTTGAAGTGATGGTGTGTTGTACCGAGTATCACCTACGTCATATGTAATGATCCGAGACGCGTCAGAAACTCACATCCGCGTCTCGGGCAATTTCAACTGCACGCTTCAATCCATTCAATCCACACCGACACCCAATGGTGTCCCTGCCTTTCACTGTATCAGCTCATCCTCTCGAGCCCTACGAGTAAATATGCCCGCACCCCCAGACAAGCGCGTCTTTGGCCGATATCCCGGTGTCCTAAATGTGGACAACTTCTGCAACTCGTTACGGCAGTAGGCCGTTTCTAACACGAGGATCGCTCTAGGAAGAGATGAACATCTTGTCTGAGTCCAAAGGCTGGGAGCAGGAAGACAATGGAGGATATCCCTTACTTAGGAAAGTGGCGCGACCAATCGCATCGCACAGAGTCGATACGACCTGAGATTCTTGAGCGGCTCGACTGGTCAAATCTTGAAGCCTCACCAGCTTGGCCTCTCCGCTGGCGGCTTGGAACCCACGAGCCCAGAGGGTGATGCGTTGTCATCCAGATGCATATCGCCGTTGCAGCCCCAAGCCAAGATCATGGTGAGGTGACTTCCTGAGTCAAGTTGCAGCGAATGTTGTCGGATTGCCGAACCCCTGGCAGTCCGGTATCAGGTGGTTTGCTGAGTGCCTGGATTGATCGTTGTACAGTCATTCTCGAAAGACCTACTTGAATATTACCATCTCCAGTCGCCACTGTCATGACTCGCCCTTTATTGATCACGGCGCGATGCTGACTACTCGCGAGGGTGGATCAGGAAGCTCCACCCAGATTCCCAGTAATACAATATTGCGGTTCCGAGTTGGTCCCTATTCCAGAAAACCGAGGGACATTCCTCGTAGGGAACCTGTCCATTCTCAACCTGGCCCGTCGCAACATGTCAGACCTCATGTTGAAGCTCAGAATCCCTGTGCTACTCACGGCAACAGCCAGCAACCTATTGACAACCAGCCGAATGAGCAGAACCTTGTGACATTGGATCAACCCAAGATCCCGCATGAGCCATTCTGGATCTTTCCGGCCAAGGACAATGCTAGTACGAGATCCGGAGTGCAATTTTGTGAGCCCCCTGCCTCATCAAACACGAAGCTCCTGTTGACAAAGCTGGAGATATCTACAGTTGGGCGCCATTCTCCGTCTACCGTCGAGGCGATAGAAATCCCAAAAGGATGATTTTTGAGGCACTTTTCAAAAACATCTTCCAAGATGATATGCTATTCGAGGCAACCATCGCAAATGCGCGTGCGATACAGTTGGCCACAACCCCATACAAGCCAGAGCATTCCCAAATTCTCGCCCAGCATGCCAACACCATCATCTCGAAACTTCGCGCGAGACTCTCCACGAAGCACGCTACATCTGAATATACTTTACTGAGTATCCTGTGCTTACTCACTCTATATGCAAGACATTCCTTCGCTTGCGGCTCGCACCGCGTATTGACTGACAGCCTTCCAGATCTTTTCCCGTCGTGATGTGGACTGGGAGGCTGAAATGGAACTGCATCTCACAGCAATGAGGCAGTTAATGGAGAAGAGAGTTCAAGATGGTGAAGTCTCGGGCCTTGATGGTTACATCAACTTTCGGGTGTTGATGCACGTCAGCCCAAATAAAACTTCCTTGTCTAATCCAGCTGACTATGTTTGCTGAACAGGTACGAAGAGTTGCTACAGCATTAGAGACGGATAGAGAGATTCAAATATCCCATTAACCCCGAGTCCTTGAAACCAGTCTTGTACAATCCGTGTTCCGACCATGGGAGCATGATCGAGTGCTTGTCCAAAATGCCATATGGTCTTGCCGCTCTTGCAATGAGCAGACCCATCTCTAGGCGGCTATGCTCATTGATCAGGGAGATAGCTGAAGTCGATAAAGGTACATCAGACACCAGACTGCGCAAAATGGTTCTTACCTCAATATAGATGTCCGTCCAGTCGAGCACTCACACATCTGTTCCAACAAGGCCGCAAGTGATACGACGTTTCACTGTACCGACCTTCTCATGCATCGTCACCTTCTTAGTACGCTTGACGAAATACTTCTTGTGGGTCTTTTCACCTACGCAGAGCACGTATGTCAAGTGCTGTGCGCACCTGTTACTTTGGTGGCCGACGCCTTCCACCGCACAAGTTGTCTGGCACTTGCTTGCCGGAGCGATCTGATGCCCATACTTTTCCCTCAGTCGACACCCAGTGCTTTTCCCGTTGTACAGCAGGCTCTTATGTGGGTGGCAACAGTTTTGACCGCCACTCGGCTACCGGATTCACCAGCAGGCGGGCTTGCTCAACGGTTGTGGAGACTATCGAACAATGGAGCACTCGATACGAATCAGGCAGTATACGTTAGCAGGCATTTGTTCTTCTGGGATGATCACTTGACAAGGCGATTAGCGGAGAACACGACGCTCAACAACTGGAGCTCTAATGCCTGCATAGTATCTTGCGATGACTAGCCTTTTCTCAGCTAGAGCTTCAGGTTGTGAGGTTAAAAGTATCCTCTTTTCCCAAGCAGACTCAACAAGCCGTCCATCAAGTCAGAATCCCTGCGAGGAAGTGGCGGCTCGCTAATCTAGGAATACGTCGTTACCCACCTCGACGGACAGCTATGACAGATGTCTTTCGTTTCAGCAGTATCCAAAATGGCCACAATCGAGTTGCTTGTGACCATCTTATTTTTTATCCATACGACGAACACAACAACGACGTGAAAGTCAATATCGCCATCGCGGAGACAAGAGAAGGCGGAGTCCCTGAAAATGGGGTCGATGATTGGACCGACCCCGGGCGGCTTCCGGTCAACGACACCAGATTATGAGACTAGTTGACATGATTCTGGAAACAAGTGGGAGCCTGCTTTCTCCGGAGAATCATGGGGATGCTGTTCTCTGTGACATCGCGCCTCAAGGGAATGGGACATTATTGAAGATGGTCGTTGAGCGGAGCAGTATGTCTAGAAGAAACGAGTGGAAATACAATGTATCGACTATGCACATTCTGTAGTGCGCTCAGTGAGAAGTCGATGATAAGCTTTTCAACCAGATGAGTTATCGCGTCGCAAATGTGTAGATACACGCTCGAAGTCAGGTGTTCGGCTCGTCCGACAGCATTGCAAAGCTCAGGTGAGAGGGATACATTGAATGAGTAGTATTTTGAGGTATATTATTTGTAAACGTTCGTTCACTCCCGCAATCGACCATAGGATGTGGAAAACAGGGCTTCCCGTTCGCTCAGCCGTACTTAAGCCACATGCCGGTCAGTTAGTACTAAGGTGGGTGACCACTTGGGAATCCTGACTGTTGATTGTTTTTCTCTTTTTGTGTGTTTCGAAACATTTCTTCTGTTCTCTTTAAGCTACCTCCAAAAAATTAGACTCCTGTCTTCGTGGAATCTGCGGCGTTAGCAACAAATTTTTGCTCGGTTGTAGTGGGCGCGAGTCGGTGGCGAGAGGCGACAAGGCTGAGGTTGGTTATGTCAGCGCCAAGACAAGATCCTGAATTCTCCTTCACTTGCAAAGTCACACTCTTGCCCCCCTTCGCTGTATGCCCTGACACCACATTCCCACAGGCCTGAAAACCTCTGGAGTGGCACCAACATGGTCCAAAGTATCACGCTGGCTCATATGCCACCCGAACTGGCGCTCTACGTGGCCATGTACACTGATGTGGAGAATGCGCCTTTCCTCAAGGAACAGCTGCTGGCAGGCAACTCGGACTTCGAATACGCTTTCATTGATGCGAAAATGGTGAGCGCTCAAACACGTTCTTACAGCTTCCCAGTGTTGACCTGATTCCTCTTCTCGCAGGTTGCCTCTGTCAACCACGTGCTCGCTGCCGCCTTCCGTGCCATGAACGATTATCTCAACGAAAGATTGAAGTCACGGAACGTCCATTCAGAGATTGTGTTCTCTCTGAGCCCGAACAACAATGTTAGTGCAGAATTCAGTCTTTCTGGGCTATGGTGACGCTAACGGCACATGCAGATTGGCGAAGCCTTTCGCAGGTTCGGCGTCAGCGAATCGACCAGAGATCTTCTCGTTTTGAAGGTTGCCACAATGCCCGAAGTGACCCTTGAAAGCGTCGCCCAACATCTGTCGACGCACATCCAAGGTCAACCAAGTACATTTGATAATGCAACATTTCGCAAAGTAGCAGACCTCGAGAGAATCAGAAAGCTCTATAAACTCAGCTCTCCGAATTCAAGGGCCGGCTCAGGCAAGGCTGTTAACGGCATCCCGAGTACTGACGCCAGCGAGGGTGTCGATGAGACGAAAGTTCTTGAGGTTCAGATTCTGGGGCTCATGGCTCTTCGGGGGGCGACGTGATCGTCGAAGCGACCATGTTTCTATGTGTCTGACAGAGGGGGCTGCAACCTGAGCATCCAATTTTCTCTCCACCCCTGCGACTCTGTCCGCACCTCCGTTATGGAGGACAGCACTCGGCGTCAAAGGCGCGGACTTGCGATCTCTGCACCTTGCTCGGATCCTGACGGCGTCACTGCCACGCCCAGAACGACGTATCAAGAATATCGGCCTTCAGGCTGCCATAGCTCGAATCATCAAGATAATATCCCAGATCTCAGATGACGCCCACAATGAGCCGTGTCCTGATTGGAAGCCTGCGTATTCTGGGAAACACTGCTTCGTACTCCGAAGTTGTTCGATGTTTCGCACAAGTCTTGGGACTCATTTGCTGGTTCATCCGACCGTGCAACTGTCAGCTCGGCAGAGCCTGATTAACTGTACCGCTAGAATGGCTGGAAAACTCCCATCATTGCCTCTCCGAGTGCCATCTCATTTGTTCATAGCGATTCATATGACACCGTCACCTTGAAGCAACTCGCTTTGCGGCTTCCCGAGACCCACCAGGTACTCCACACGTAAATCATGTGGAGGGGCCTGCGTGGACATCTACTCCTCGCAAGGTCAAGTTTGCGACATATTGATCTTGCTATATCCAGGTCCCCCCTTGCGCCGGCGCACCAGCATATATCCAAAGACGGCCAAGCTTGCGATTTCAAAAACTGCCACCACGATTGAGGCGTAGAAGGTGTATTTCTGGGCCAAAATGAATGTGTCAGTCCAGTTTCATCCCGCTACCCGACGGTGTCTGTCGGCCCCTGCTTGGGTTTCCTAGACTCACCATTTCAACACACATCGTCTCAAAGGACATCTTTCCATTTTTGAGAGATTTGTGAGTGCACGACCAGGACCACAAGTCCCAGCTCTTGTTGCCCTTGTTGTCTTGCCATTTGAAGTACACCGCAGCAGCGATCCACGCCGCGATTCCAAGCAAGGAGGTGAAAAAGACAGCCCAGGTATGCAGGTGCATCTCGCGCAGGCGACGGGTCTAGACAATTGATTCGGTCAATGATTGTGCGCAGTGTTGGTTTATATGTGGCATCAGAGGTTAGAGAAAGCAACTCACCCCTCCGCAGAACGTGAGCAGCGAAAGGATCTGCACAACAACAGCGAATACCGCAGCCCCGAGCATGACCCAGGTTGGCCAGACGTCAATGTGGTTGGGCCAGGCACGCTGGCGGATACCGTTCGATTGCTGCTCGACGACATTTCGAGTTGTGGCCCACACTACTGCGGCATGGGCGAGCACGCCGATGATGGATGCTGCGAACCCTAGCGCAATAAATCTGACAAGCACTCGACAGATATTTGGAGCGGCTCTTGCCTTGCCTTGCGCTTTGCGGAACTGTTCGTGTGTGGGCGCATGTTCAGTGATCCCATGTTGTCTTGCAGTCTGTTGGTTTGGCAGAACTAGATGTCGGAGGGGTTCCATAATGATATGCGCGATGGTAGATTGCTCGACAGACTTGAGGGGAAGATATTCGGTAAGAAAAAATCTCCCAAGATGTCGAGGGGATTGATATCAAGAGATGGCCTTGTGGGGTTGTCCTGGCCTTGATCGATGAAAACGAGCAGCAAACTGCCGTCGCTCTGGTATCTTCAACACGATAAGCGCCTTCTCAGAGCAAAGACCCCCTCCGGGTTGTAAGGATTTCGACTATTTGAGTCAGCTCCTACTACTACTATCGTTCCCAGGAAAGCCTCAAGGGATTCGCCTCAGCTGCACGGAGCATTCACCCCATTCGACAATTTTACTCCTTCAGGATGCTAAGAGGGGCAAAGGATGTACTGCCGTAATAACGAACCCCCAAGTCAACTAATCAAGCAAGTACGAAGTGCATAGGTACATCCATTACACGAAGGCGAGGCTTAAATGAGAGAAGCAAATGCTAAGCACTACTTCAGGCCCCCAAGCATTAGCTCATCAGCTACAGCAAACAATCTTCGGTAGGTCGCCTCCTTTGAGTGGTACAGATCTATATAGACGGAACGATGTAACAGAGTGAGCATGAAAGGAGGATTTGAAGCAATCCAACTCGTCGAGCAATCTTACTCTTAAGCCCGAGATACATGCAGTCGGAGAGAGCCCGCCACGGTCAGCACTAGAATTCGCCAGCCCTCACTTTTGTTTGTTTATGTAAGGCATCCACCCCTCTATGATTCCCACCACCACTACTACTCCATCTGTGAGGCTGAGAGATTTAAGGAGCAAATTTTGAGGCTCGGGTGAGGACAGAGGACCAAGGGTAGTGAGTAAGGAACCGCCATGCATGGAGTATACCCAAGGTAAGGACATCAGAAGGGAGCGAATACCCATATCATAATCCCACCCGGATCAGTCTTTCTCATATAGTCCTCATCTGTTCCCATCCCTTCCCCTGTTCATGGTGGCTTGGCCGGTCTGTGAACATCCAGCCAGACTCTGTGGTACCATCTTCAATCCATGCTCAGATCAGTGCTGGTCTCGGTGGCTGCTGCCGCCCTTGTCGGCGCCCAAGTAGCCGTCAATGACACGTCCGAACTCCCTCTAACCGAGCGAGACACTCCATGCTTCGTGTCGACAACTCCAGTCACGGCCTGCGGATCGGGTGATCTGACCAAAGCCAACTGGGACGCGTTTGGCATCGACAACTTCCTAGCCGGCTTCATCAACCAGTTCGGCACCTCTGACAATTTTCCCAAGTTCTTCGTCTCGCAGGACACGCCGACCGAGAACCCGTTCGACAACTTCGACTGCTCGACCTTTGGAAGCACCACCTGCACCGTTCCCACCTTGAACAACCCCGACGCTGCGACCAACTGCGTCTTCAATGGACTTCAGGGCACCTTTTGCGCCAACTTCATCGGTCCCGAGGCCGGCTTCATCGTGCAGAATTACATCAACCTGTGGCAGGGCCTGCAGAACCACCACGACGCCATCCAGGACGCCGCGGATGCAATCATAAAGGCCAACTTCATCAACACCATGGTCAGCGCGTTGGCGCCGAAGAAAGAGCCCATAGGACCGGCGGTGTTCTCGCTGATCGTCGATCTGGTCACCGACATCCTACCTATCGGCGGCGAGATCAAGGCGGCCACGACGTTTATGAAGAAGATCCGGCTGATCATCAAGGCGACGAAGTCCGACCTCGAGGATGACTCCAAGGACATTGTCAGCATCATCCAGGACAACGAGGCTATCGACCAGGAGGTCTCGGCCACCGAGGACCAGCTCACCCAGCAGCTCGCCAACATGGTCACAGGCACGCAGTCACGGCTGCAGAACATCCTCAACCAGATCTTCGGCGCGAACAAGGACCCGCAGCTGATCGCGGACGCCTCGACGATCGGCAGCACCTTCGCGTTCCTGAACGCCTACCACGGCGTGTTCCTGGACGATGTGCCGCAACGCGCCGACCTGGCCGCGCAGATGCAGAAGCAACTGCAGAACTGGATCGTCAGCTCCGTGCTCAGCACGATGGGGTACGACGTGACGATCGACACGACGCCCCTGGAAGACCCGCCGGGCCAGCCAGGAGTGGTGTGCCGGGCCGAGAACGGCTTCACGGCGGGGGCAGGCTGCGCATTATTCCGCATCAACGGCATCGACCACAACAACGGCGACGTCATCGACAACGCGCAGCAGGGCAACAACATCTTCGCACTCCAGGACGCGGGCATGGACATCAACGCCATGATCGCCAACGCCCAGGCGTGCAATGGCGGTGGCGGCGGCACCGTCGACTTCGAGACGTTCCTGGACATGGACAACACCGACGCGCTGCCGAGTTGCATGTTCAACTTCAGAGTCAAGGTAGTAGCGCTTTGAGGGAGATGGAGGTACCGAAGGGGGATTTAATCTTATGTCGCCTGTCCTTCAGCCGACGTCTGCATTTTTGGAGCGCCGAGCATGGTTCAATTGGCTGGCTGGGAGCAAAGCGATGGGCGTTTCCATGAGGTCCGGCACAAGATGAGAGTATGAATACAAGGGAGGGCGTTTCCGTCTTATTGTGCGAACTTTGTGTTCTTTCTGGCTTGCAAGGTGTCCTTGGGCATGTACAGTACACATAGAAGGGGAAGAAAGTCGCCAGGGTTGGGTCTGTCCTGGGCCAGCCCAGAGAGACAAAAATCCAACTGAGACTCGAGTACGCGTGTATGCAATCACGAATCCAGATACTTGGATGGATGGATTGCCAAAATTCTACCCGTTAAACACGGTCATGGTCGTGGTCGTGGTGACTATTATCGTTATAATCTCTACCTCCTCCTCCTCCTCCTCCGGGAGCTTTCTGGCTCTGGAAGGACAACACCCTCACAGACCAGCCGCTCTCTCCAAAGCCCGCTCTCTCATCCACAAGCCATGCCAATGGTTGCATACATAGTCGAAAACACGCCAGATTCAAACGTGCGGACTGTTGAAATAGATCTTCGTCTCCTCGTACTGGGCCTCGGGACCGCCCAAGCCGCGAATGCGCTCGCTCAACGTCTGGCTCTTTTCGGGGTCGAAGAAGGGCTTCTCGCCGAAGATGGCGGTCCGTTTGCCCTCCCTCGTTGCAGGGTCGTAGCCGCCGGGGATGGCCCTGTGCACGACCACGCGGTTGTCCCAGAAGGCGACGGAGCCGGGCTCCCACTTCCACCGCACCGTCAGGTCGTCGGCCGCGTGCAGGTGTTCGCGCAGGAAGTTCAGCGTGTGGATCGACTCCTGGGCCTTGAGCTCGCGGATGTGGATGACGAAGGTCGGGTTGTAGAAGAGCGATTTGAGGCGAGTAACTGGGTGCGTGCGAACCTATATGCATACGACGACGGTCAGTGTCTCCGAGACGAAGAGTCTTCGTGTTGGTGTGGCCGAGAACGGAGAGCACGGCGACGCCAATCAAACGGACGTACCAGTGGGTGTTCGCGACGCTGAGGGCCACGGAATGGCTTGTAGCCTCCATTGATCGAGTTCACGAAGCTGCTCTGCAAGTTCCATCCCGTGTGTCAGTAGGGGATGGGTGTCATAGCCTTCCGACACCAGGGCTTGCACTTGGTATAGATATGGCATGGCATACCTCGGAGCTATGCACGGCATGTAGTCCATCGAACAACCTCTGAAATGTCGGGCTCAACTTATCGTACAACGCAGTCTGGCTCGTAAAGACGGTATCCCCGCCACTCTCAGGTGTCCGGATCATTCGTAACATAGTGTACGCCGGCGGATTGGCTTCGTGAGAGTGATCGGAATGGTATTCCCCCCCATAGTCGGCGTACTTTCGGATATCGCTGCGACGACGCTCAGTGTTTGTTGAGGGCGAATATCTCTCTGACAGGGCTTCGCTCACCTGTTTCGTCCCAAGATTGTAACATGCTTAGGGTCCTGTTGGTTGGGATCACGATCTTGCTATCGGGAGGAACCACACAGAGTGAGTACGAAGGTCCCTCCGCTACAACATGAATGAACAGAGACGTCCGAATGAGCTTACAATCCCGTAGTGAGCAGTCAATGCATACTGTTGCTCAAGCGTAAGGTCCTGATCTCGAAAGAAGACCACGCCTCGCTAAAGGACCAGTCAGCAACTCACTCTCGATCAGGAAGAGGGGCCATTGTACTTCGGCAACCAACAAGGCCAACTCGTCCTTCTGTAAATCTGTGAGTTTGCTCAATTGGATTCCCACCAGCTCCGTCCCGATGTAGGGAGTCAGCTTGCGGACCTGTTTACACGCAGCCAAGAGCGACTTCTTGTCCGGATCGGCGAAAAGGGCACGATCTGGAGCTGGTTCAAACTCCTTCACGGGCGGATCAGGAGCCTTGTAGGAGAGAACTTGCTCTGTGATACCGGTGTGAGCGGTACTCATTGTAGCTGGCGGTGTTGGGGTAGAAGCGACTGGCGTTGTGGTGTGGGCAAGAGTCGAGAGTCCCAAAACGGCTCTATATAGGTAACATGAAATGCCATATCAGTTCAGTAATCCCCTCTCGTCCCCTCTTGCCTCCTCCCTCTCCGTCTAGCTTCGGCGGTTCTAGGGCCACCCCATAGTTGCGTAATCTCGACCTAGCCTTGCCATATTAGGCCCAGAGGTTACAGGACGGAGATTGACGGGTCTGTTTACATATCGAATATACGCTCGCACCACTGTGAGTGGTTGAGCGGTCATCCGTGCATTATTCACGCCTGTTTGTTTGGGCGACAATGAACTTCCTCAAGCAGGCCATTGCATCGGTAAGGGCACGGACCGAGCATTTCTTGTTCAGACAGGCGTCATGCGGTGTATGCAGTACCTCAACTACACCATCTCCGAAGCTCAGCCTTGTGAGCATGGTACCCCTAGTATGGCTGCAATGGAAGAATTCAATTACTCAATCAATTGCTATTTCCTTTTTTTCTGGTTTCAATTGCCTAACCTGCAAGATCCAGGGAATGAAAGGACGCAATAGAAGGACAATCCCAAGCTCACATCAGCTGTGAGTGACTCGTCTGCTAGATCGCGGACTTCCTTTCCCGTCAGTTTTGCTCAACTTCGGCTGCATTCACATGTCTCTGTGCGAATCAACATCCCCTGCTTGCCTGACGGCTCTCCATCACCAAGTCTCCACCCTGCGAATAACATTCTATGTTTATCTTAGAGTACAATTGCAAACTTTTCCTCAAACCATCCGTCCATGGTTCAGTCCCCTTTCGACTGTCTCGCCTGTCGCCTCTTGGAATTCGAAGCACCGGCAAAGCTGTCCCTCGTCGCTGTCAATGTTCAGTATCAGACCATACTGCCGCCTCCGCTCGTCATATTCTCTTCCCTGTCCCATGCCACCCCCTAAGCACATTCATCTTCGAAAGGAAAAGAGCTTTCTGATCTTCACTCATCGAAAAGTGTGTCTAACCATCCCATTTCATGTAAAATAGCACGTCGATCCGGTAAAGAGACCATTGAAAAACCTTCCAACGCCGTCGCTAATGTTCAAGTGTTAGTGTCTTGTGAAACACATTGTGGCCGGAGAAAAATAATGCGGAGGGCACTCTGACAAGGAGCCTCCTCTTTCCCAAAGGTGACAATTTAGTGGCCGTTAGAAAATTGCATTAAAAAAGGACATCACCGCTACATCAGACTGGGAGTCGAAGACAGAAGGTCAAGTTAATGGATCCGTCACTCGCTCTGTATCTGAATTTTCCATTTTAGCATGACATCAAAGTCATATGATGGTACAAAGAGGACTCAATCCTCCTTTGGAGAAGTTGGTGAATACTGTGGACTGTTTGGAGAATATTGTGGACTGGTGGCAGTCGCCGTCCTAGCCGCTGGACTTCTTGGAGATGCATTGTACATCGGACTTGTGGGAGAGTAAGATGGACTCGTCGGTGACGTCGGGCTAGTCGGACTGTAGGTAGGAGAGGTTGGAGAATAGCTTGGTGACGTCGGAGACTGTTTATTGGCACTACCACCATACATAGGGCTTGTCGGACTGTACATCGGGGACGTTGGACTGTAAACAGGCGACGTCGGCGACGTCGGCGATGTGGGGCTGAAAGCCGGAGAAGTCGGTGAGTAGCTTGGTGACGTCGGTGATCCATAAGCTGGAGACGTCGGGGAGTAATTGGGTGACGTCGGCGAGTAGCTCGGCGAAGTAGGCGACGCTTGGTACCCGGGAGAGGTTGGCGAGTACGCAGGCGAAGTCGGAGTAAAAGCAGGACTTGCCGGCGAGAAGGATGGTGATGTAGGCCCGAAACCAGGGCTGGTCGCGCCAAACATCGGAGAGGTTGGTGAGTAGCCAGCAGTGGGCGAGAAGCCAGGTGAACTTGGGCTGGTGCCACCGAATGGGCTGGCGGGTGAGTAACCTCCAGGGCTCCGCGGACCGTAGGGACTGAATCCTCCAGCTCCACCAAATCCGGGTTGGTAGTCGGTAAATCCTCCTGGAGTTTCCGAACCAGAAGCTGCAATGGGAGAGAAGGAAGCCCCGTAGTCGGGAGAGCCAAGGTACCCACTGTCTTGCATTGGCGAGCCGGTATCGTAAGGAGTAGCAGCACCTTCAAGGAGTTGCTGTGAGCCCTTAACACCAATAGCACCACCAAGTCCAAGGTTGGCATTGTCCGAAACAATGGTAGACAGCATGCTCTGGTCCAGAAGGATCTCCATCGTTCCGGTACCAACAGGTGCAGGTTGCCCCAGAATCAGATTTTCAGAGACACCTTTGCAATCGTCCAATTCGCCAGCTGCAGCAGCCTCAAGCAAGATCTCGACAGTTTGCTCGAAGGAACATCTCATCAATGCACCAGTATCGGACTTGTTGATACCATGGCGAGTGACAGCCATGACATATCCACGTGCGGTCATCACGTCACACAGGATGCCCAAATGGCGAGCGTTGACATAAGAGCCATCGAACGACAAGACTTGGGTCAACTCACGAAGAATTGCAGCACGAGTAGCTTCGATTCCAAGAACTTCGAAGATCTCAGTGAAGCGGTTGGTATAAGTGCGAGAGGTGTCAACTCCTTCAATGGCAAGGACCTTTGCGAAAGAGCTGCCAGTGGTTTCGAGCACGTATTCATTGCACCGCGGATCGCTCTTGGCCATATAGACAGAGCCGTCATCACTGATGATCGCACGACTTTTCTGGTCGATGAAGGCTCTCGAAACCCCTGGGACACCGTGAAAAGTCAAATGGTCGAGCATTTCATTCAAAAAGCGTCGAAGAACTTCATCATCCTCTTTGCGGTCGTCATCCTCGTCCTTGCCGTAATTTTGGACAAGTCGAATACGAATGATCTGCTCGTCCGCATTGATATCGCTGAAGATGACCGAGAGATCCTTGCCGTAGGTCGCTTTGATCCTTGAGGCGACATCTGTAATGTTGAGGGCCTTGTCCAGAAGTCTCGCGCGGCTGAGAGTGATGCGAAGCAGCCACTTCGAGTGTAGCGCGAGATCTTGATCTGTATCTTCGGGGATGATGAAGTAGGATTCGACCATATCTAGATCTTCGGGGATGATGGTACTCTGAATATCGGGGTCGTACCACAATTCGCAGGTCTCTGCCACGGAGCGTAAGTTAGTGTGCTGTACACGGCTTCTCAGTAGCTTGGCGGCTTCTTTGTCACCGGCATTTTCTGGAAGCTGGTAAACAGTCATGGACGGAGTTCGGATGTTCTGCGAGACGTTCAAGATTTCCTTGAGACGGGGCACGCCCAGAGTGACGTTCTTCGCCGACACACCAGTAAAGTGAAATGTGTTCAAAGTCATCTGGGTGGCAGGTTCGCCAATGGACTGGGCGGCTAGGACTCCAACCATTTCGCCTGGATTTGCATGTGCAGCAATGAACCGACTCTCGACGGCTCCGATGATATTGTCAAAGGCCAATCTATTGACCCCATGCTCAAGAACAAGCCGCTTATAGGCCAGCCGTGAGCGGAGTTGCGCCTTCAGCAGGAGGGTTGCATTGTCTTGGGCCTCTTTCGAGATAGGGTCATCCCCACGGACGACGACGAGTCGATCCAACAACTGCTTCACTGCAATAAGGGCATGACGAGGATCAAGGTCGGTCTTGTCGCCACGGCGGATCTTGAAGTTCTTTTGAGCCTGGTCGATGATACGTCCGATGTTGAGAGGCAGCTGCATCGAGTCTTCGGTGCCTTTACCCATCTTCCGCAAGAAATCCTGAGATTTTCGAAGGGCGTCATATTCCTCATCGAACATCTCTTGGAGTTCAGTGTCACCTTGTAGCTCTCTTGCCTGAAGAAGTCTGCCCTTCCACATGGAGAGGTCTCCGCTCATGATGTCTACCATGTAGCGGTCATTGAATGCTTTGTCTGACATGGTAATGATATCGACTTTTTGGTTCTCGATATGAGCTCCATCAAGTCCATCCTCACCATAGATGAACTGGACCACGTTTCCTCGCGAATCACGGACCGTAGAGTCATATTTGACGGTGACCTCCTCCAGAGCCTTGACAAGTCGGCGTTGGATATAGCCGGTCTCGGCGGTCTTGACAGCAGTATCGATAAGACCCTCGCGACCAGCCATGGCGTGAAAGAAGAACTCTGTGGGGGTCAAGCCACGCAGATAGGAGTTCTCAACGAAGCCTCTCGAAGGAGCGGAGTAATCGTCCTTTGCGAAATGGGGCAGCGTGCGGTATTTGAAGCCAAAAGGAATACGTTTGCCTTCCACAGCCTGTTGACCAACGATAGCAGTCATTTGAGCAATATTGATAGTAGAACCTTTTGAGCCTGCACGAGCCATAGTGATGGCGTTGTTGAGATCTTTCAGACTGTTTTCTGTGGCAGCACCAGCTTGATCACGAGCCTGATTCAGAGAGTTCATCACTTTACTCTCGAACGTTTGACGAACATTCATACCAGGAGAAGGTTCAAGCTCTTCGTTGTAGGCCTTCTTTGTTATATCATCGACCTCAGCCTTCTTAGTGTCGACGGCGTCTTGGATCTTTTGGACAGTGTCGGGGTCGGGAACTGTGTCACCAATGCCGATACTGAACCCATTGTGTAGAAGCCAGTAGTTGACCACGGTTTGTGCGCCGTTGAAGAAAGCCTTGGCAGTGTCATGCCCGAATTCGTTGCAGATCGTATGAATAATGCCGCCAGCGCTCGTGCCGACAAATTTCTTGCTGAACAAGCCAAACATAAGATTGCCCTCAAGTACCATGAGACCGGTGTCGTTGGTTGGTACATACGGGTCTTCACCCTTGGCATCGAGTCTCTCGAGGTTAAGAGCAGGCGGGAGCACCATGCTGATCATCTGCTTCCCCGTCCAGCGAGGTGTGGGCTTGATGATAGCTGGTTGAGGAATCACCCCATCCCAGTCAGGAACCCATAACATGACGTTCATGACTTGATCTCGCGTCAAGAAGACATCACGACGACAGATCTTATAGATACCACACAGAGTGTCCTGGATAATACCCATTAGGGGGGCATTACGTTGTGGTGACACAATGTTGAGAGGGACCATGCAAAGATTGGCAAGTTCAGCTCGAGATTCTTCGCTCTGCGGAACGTGCAAGTTCATTTCATCGCCGTCGAAATCGGCATTGTAAGGTGTTGTGACGGAGAGGTTGAGTCGGAAGGTGGAGTAAGGCATAACCCGGACACGATGACCCATCATAGACTCTTTGTGAAGAGATGGCTGACGATTGAAGAGAATAACATCTCCATCCTGGATGTGGCGCTCGACAATCCAGCCATACTGAAGAGTCATGTCTCCTGCACGTTTATGGTGCCGTAGATCGATACGTTCTCCAGTATCTCGAATGACATATCTCGCACCCGGATGGTCGTTGGGCCCATTCCTGACGAGGCGTCTCAGCCGATCAATTGTAAAGGGGGTGACCCTTTCCGGGTAGGTCAGGGTGCGAGCAATGCTTCGCGGAACACCAACCTCGTCAAGAGAAAGGTTGGGATCACCAGTGATGACGGTACGAGCAGAGAAGTCGACACGCTTTCCCATCAAGTTCTGGCGCAATCTGCCTTCCTTACCCTTAAGACGAGCACGAATTGATTTGATGGGTCGACCACTCTTGTGCTGCGCTTTGTCTAGTCCAGCAATCTCGTTGTCCATGTATGTGGCAATGTGATACTGAAGGAGATCACAAAGATCAACCTTGATGTGGTCAGGAGTGCCGTCAACTTCAGTTCGCAGCACTGCTTGATTGGCCCGAATGATATCACCTAGTTTGAACGTGAGGTCGTCTTCACCGCGTTGTCCTTGGCCGCTACCATCAACACTGATACTGGGTCGGACTGGTGGAGGAGGGACAGGAAGCGCAGACAAGATCATCCACTCAGGACGGGCATAATCAAGACTGAGACCCATCATGTCCAAGGTTTCGTCGGTCAAGGTACGGAAAGTGTTGAGAGCATCTTGTGGGAAGATTCGCTTCTTCTCGGGAGCAGTTTCTTCATCATCTTCGCCTTTTCGCGGTTTCCAGGTCGCCCACAACTGCAATCCAGTTCTCCGAATGTCCGGTTGTGCATTGCCACAGCCACCGTGCTTGGGCTGAGATGGTCCTTTTAAAGGTTGATCGGGGTCTTCAATAGGATCGGCCTCGCAAACGTTTCGAGGCTTACTGAGTCGCCACACTGCCTCGAAGCGGCGCTTTCGGTCTCGAATCGAGATTGCATGGCGGAACTCTTCGGTCTGCAGTGAATTGAGATTAGCGGTGAGGAATGGGATGCACATCACAGGAGGGACTAACATCAAGCGCCTTAATCTTGCCACAGTTGTGGCAGACCGTCTCCAAGATCTTCTTGACTTTGTTCATGAAGCCATAGTGGTAGACTGGAGTTGCGAGCTTGATGACACCAAAGTGGCCAGGGCACTCGGCCATGTTCTCTTCACAAGTACTGCATTTGAAATTGCGATCGATTGTTCCGAGATGAGGATCGTTCGGACCTTTTTCGCGAGGTCTGAGGCGTTGCTCATCCCTGGTCAGACACGGGTTAGAAATCAAACAATCAGAGAAGTGATTTTTGTCTTTTATTTTCTACATACATCGTCTCAGGATATTCGATGTCGATGACCGCAAGGCGCTCGGTCTCTTTGGCGGAGAAGAGGCCAAACTGAATCTCCTCGACCGTGCGCAGAGGCGCGCTCGAATAAGGGAAATTGAGGCTCGCCATGATTGCGCGTATTTATCCCTGGAATCTCGAGTATCCTTGTGAGACGATTCTTCTTCACTCTTTGACACGATCTGGGATGATCGCAGTGCTTGCGCGGGTGGCTGCGCGATGGTGGTCAGAGATGACCTTTGCCCTGTCGGGCCGCCCAAAACAATGCTGTGTCCTTCTCCAGCTGCGCTCTCCACCAATTTTCTTTATTTTGATCCAAATCTTCCTGGAAAGCGATCGGCTGACCGATTGGGACGTGTAGAGTCGTAGGCGCGATCGTTTTGAGATGGTTGGGTGGGGGTTGTGATAAGGAAGAGGATGAGGAAGGGATGAGAAAGCCAGCGCAAAATTTGAGAGTTGAAAGGGCGAGCGGCTGCCTGCGCCGCGCCAAGAAAATCAGCCCAGCGGCGAAGGCGGCTTTTAAGCGGCAAAAACTCGCCTCCTTTCAGTCTTTGCAGTTCTGGACCAGGGTTCAAGATATGAAACTTCTTAAGCGCGAAGCAAAAAGCAATGGTTGAGTCTTTATTCTGGATTCACTGACTCTACACAGTATCTGGTGCTATAACAGCTACCTGAAGCCAGGACATCGATATCAGATGACACGTAGCAGATTTTCTGGGTGCATAGTGTTCAGAACGAGCTGGTTTCGTGCTCACGGTCTTGGATTAAGCAATCGCCTTTAAACATGATACATTCACTTCACGCGCTCAGCGACAGACGTCTTAAATGACAACCTGTCACTGGAAATTCACTAACAATGACATATTCTCTTCGTCGCCACTGCTGCCGTCTTTCATCGATGTCCTCGCTTAACCTTCCTTCTCCCTTTTGTCTTCCATCTACGAGGTAGTCGTGGAGTTCGTAAATTCACCACACGTGACGACGCTAAAGATGGCGCTAGCACCGGATCCGGCAATAGACGCATGGCGTCAGAAGGGTTTGAAGCACCCATGCTTTCGTGAGACCCCTCTTGTATCAACGACGACATCATGAATTTGGCACTGATAGATCCGTTTCAATTAGCCCAGGACTCCCCTGACGCCCTCACCAATGACCTCAGTATGTACAGCCCCAGATCCTCTAAAAAGTGGAAAAGAAGCCAGGTGTTGGAAATAAGTACTGATTCAAGCCAGGATCTGGCCATGCGACCACCCTGAGATTCAGTCGCAAGGGCGACTATCTCGCGTCGGGTCGGGTGGATGGAAAGGTCATCATTTGGTCAGTGGCCCTCGACAAGAAAATGTTGACAGCGCAAAATTTTGGCGTCTTGAAATGAGGAATTGGCTGACATTTTTATTCAAGGGACATGGAGACGTACGGGGTCGCCATGAAACTTCATGGTCATTGGAAGCAGATCCAGAGTCTAAGGTACACCTCCTTCATTACGATACATTAGCACGGCACTAACGCCCTTCAGCTGGTCGAGATGTGGTCGCTACGTCCTGTCAGCGTCCCAAGACTGTAGAGCATGTCTTTGGGACCTGAAAACCCAGGAACGAATCCGAACCGTCAAATTCGAAGCGCCAATCTACACAGCGGAACTTCACCCCTACAACCACAAGCTCTTCGTTGCTTCCCTTTTCGAAGACCGGCCATATCTGGTTGACATCACCGACGCTGTTCCTATCAAGCGTGTCCTTCCTACTACCCCTCTGAGCGATAGCATCCCCGCGTCCGAGAACAAACAAGCCACCACCTCAGCCATTTTCTCCGTGCTAGGCAATCACATCATCACTGGCACCTCAAAGGGGTACATCAACATTCTCGAGACCGAATCCCGTAAAATCATCCATTCGACAAAGATCTCGACTGGCCTTATCTCTCTTCTCCGCCTGACCAACAACGGCCGCCAACTCCTCGCCAACAGCACCGACCGAATCATCCGCACCATCAACCTCCCCGATCTAAGCCTAATCACTCCCTCTACCGCACCGGCCACGGACCCCAGTAGTAATGACGACCAGCACGACCGTGACCCAGCCACCCTGGCAGAGAACATTGTCCTCACCGTCGAACACAAATTCCAAGACCTGGTCAATCGTCTCCGCTGGAACCATTGTGCCTTCAGTCATAGCTCCTCCACAGGCATCGCAGACTACGTGACAGCCTCCACATACATGAAGAAGGACATTTACATCTGGGAACTTCGTACCAATTCTCTCCTCCGAATTCTTGAAAACCGTGAGGAACCCGCGATCATTGAGTGGCATCCCTCTCGTCCGCTCCTGGCATGTACGAGCATTGAAACGGGCAGCATCCAGATCTGGGGTATCGAGCCACAGCAGAAGTGGTCCGCATTGGCACCTGATTTCACCGAAGTGACGGAAAATGTCGAGTACGTTGAGCGCGAGGACGAGTTCGACGAATACCCACAAGAAGAGCACCAGAAGCGCCGCTTGGACAGAGAAGACGAGGAGGTGGACATCTTGACGGTGGAGAGGAAGATGGGTGAAGAAGACAGCTTCGTCCTGCCGGTGTTGTTTGATATTGAGGACTCGGAGGGCGACGATCAGGAACTGGTGAGGCATGGTGTTGGAACACTTAGGAAGAAGGATGTCAATGAGGGGAAGGAGTATGAGAACGATGGCGACGAGGTGCCTAAGACAGTGAGGAGACGCAAGTATTAACGATGACTGATGTTCATGACAAGGGCTCATGCTTGGAATCCCGGCAGTGTGGGAAGATTTTGGTCAATCAACCGGGAGTTGTGGTAAGGTTGGGCCTGGCGCAGTTGGGATGCAACTCAAGCATGGGTTGGGGCAGGCACAGTGTTGCTGGCGCAGTTGGGAGGCATTCGAGCATGGATAAGGACCGGCGCAGTGATTAAGTATTGGCGAACAGGGAGTTCAGATCGCGCGACGCCTAAAAGGCACGACAGTGGTGCTCAAACGACACAACATAGGTAGATTGTACTATCCCACACTCAAAAGGCGATGGCGAGTTGACGGGCACATGCATCAAGCTGATGCCGCTGAATGAGAATCAATCGCAGGGAAGGCCTTCTGCCTCTAATGACCATTGCCCACTCCATGGTGCTGAAGACATACTTAGTTCGTTCGAGATAGACCTGCAACGATTTCTCGGGTACCACATCCGGCCGCGAAGGGTGCCGTTGGTGCTTCTCGCCAGTTCAGATGATGGAAACTCTCTCCGCATCGCACTCCATTCTTCTGCCTTTGGATGCAATTTCTTGAAGACCTGCTTCTAGGCCCCCTTGATCTGCGCATAGTCACCAGGCAGGTTGCTCGAGAGTCTTGAGCCTGAAATGCGACAGAACACGACCGATTCGTTCCGCCGTCACTAAAGCAGTTTCTATCTAACACCATCCTCACGGATGACTGGAGTCTGTATTGTAGAAGCCACTTGAAGAAATCCAAACCGCCACTTTGGACCCAAGGCCGTGCGACGAGCCCCGAATCATGTCTCTCTCAATCCAGCTTGCTCAATCTGGACCATATCACCCAGACTCGCACTTCAGCGGCACCCTTTACCTCACCTCGGTCGAGTCCATTCCCATTGGCTCCATCGTCATCACTTTCACTGGCCTTTCTCGGGTTACATTGACTCAGAACTATGGAGATCTTAATGTTTCGAACACCGATTATCACTCGCGCGAGGTCCTCTTTCACCGTGCGCAGGTGTTGTATACTGGAGGGAAATGGGCGTACAGTGCCGGTGAATATACCTGGCCGTTTGGGTTCAGAGTGCCTGAATACGCCGATGATAGAATGATGTCAAGGTGTCCAGCACTTCAAAGGACCGTCCAAAGTACCCGAAAGCATGACTTGCCGCCGGCCATGCTGTATAGTTGTCCGGGATTTATTTGTGCTGTGGAGTATATTCTCGAAGCGACATTGAGGCCGCCATTAAGCTCTCCTATGGCGACGATCGGGAAAACCATCACCGCAAAAACGTGCGATCAATATCCTGCCCCAGAACATTGCAAGGCTGGGTGCGAGTGAAAATCCCACCAGCAGAGTTGATCAGTCTTATATCCGCCATCAACAAGTTTTCAAACTCCCCCAAGGGAAGACGCATATCTCCCTACAAAACCCAATGTCTCGAATCCTGAAGCTTTCAAAATTACAGCGCGATGGCCGCAAAGAAGAATTGGCGGCTGCCAAACCCTCACTCAGTATTTCTGTCCTCTTGCCGCGGAGAATAGAGACCAGAGAAGACTATTCGACGATGAGCATATTGTTCTCTGGCCGATCACTCAGCAACACCAAAACGTGTGGAACAACTGGCATAGAAAGTCTGGCACCATCGGCTGCGACAAGCCTCACAATCAAAAGCTTGAAGATCGCAATCATTCAACACACGAAGGTCCGAGCAGGGCATCACTCATCAACCTCCACGCGCAAGACTTATACGCGAAAGACATCATGCTCACTGCCACACCCAATCTGTCAGTGTGAGACGTTTCCGTCTGGCACCGGCGGGGCAGGTCCCGTGGAAATATCCGCGCATACGGAGGTCGACCTCGCCGAGGTCACTCAACTGCGCATACCAAGGGAGAGTCATGTCCTGGATTTTGCGACATATAATGCTGCGGTTGAGCATACACTGAAGTTGGAGATTGGAATCGAATTCGAAGGCAGAAATTTTAAGTTTGCGTGCCAGCGTGTGCCGATTAGAGTGGTGCCTGCTTGTGGTATGCCTGAGCAAGGTGTTGTCCAGGCGGAGTACCCGAGAATCCGGAGGCAAAGTGAGTATGGGCCGGCACGTGGGGGAATTGGAAGACTCGTGGCGCAATCTTCTAATCAACAAGATCAGGATGACGGAAGTGAGGCCCAGGCTGGTGCTCATGGGGAGGGGGATTGGGTCATCCCGCCACCTGAGACGGGCTCAATAGGCGCTCATTCATTCAGCGAAACCGATGCATTCTTCTCGCAACCCCGCCGAGGTATGCGCCGAGGTGTTAAAGTGATGCTGCCTTGATGGCCTTCCGAGATGGCTCTGAAGAAAAGTGAGATTCTTGATTCCCCCTGGTTGACTTCAAGGTACTGGGCTTATGAAGCCGGAAGTTCTAGACGCGCAACTTTCGTCTCCCGCGAATCGACTTCAGCAGGGTGCGGCATGGGATAGGGTGATTGGTCCTCAGAGCTACCAGATGCGACTTGATACTGTCCGGGTAACATTGTTTGATGATGGGTTACAAGTGGATAGCCGTCGTTGCTGGACATAGATTCGAGGGTGGCCCGGTGACGTTTCTTCTCTCTGAAGAGTAGAAATGAGAGGAAACCGATAACTGCGAGGAGAGGGACACCGACCCCCAGTCCAGTACCCAGTCCAGTAGAGAGACTCGCACTGGAGCTGTTGACCTCCCTGATGGCTACAGGGTTAGGGTCGCCAGTCGTTGTCGCCGTGATGGTGATCGGTGACCCAGATATGTCCGTCGTGAAGGTCACTGTCTGCAGAGCCGTGCTCGAGGCCAATGCGCCATTTGTAATGATGCTGGCGATGGGTGCGATGCTGTAGCCATGCAAAAAAGCTGAGCCATTTTCCACTGCTGCGTGTGCAATGATTGGGAATAGCTTGACGCCTTCGTCTCGGCAACAGGAGGTGGCATTGGAGGCACCATCCGAACAACACCAATTATGGTTGCTGCAGCGATAGAGCGAACTTGGGCCGGGTTTGCGTTGGGATGTTAGGCAGCGTGGGAAGCAGGCATCATCCTGCCATGTACTGTCCGTGCATAGACCAGTGTTGAGGGTAGTGTCGTTCTGTCATAGAGATGTTAAGCAATATCTGGTAATCCTCGCGGCAGTTCCACCGCTCACCTTCATCAGGCACAGCCCATTTTTGAGACAAGTTGAGTCCTCTGGACAGCAGTGCGTCACGTTGGTGGTGGGAAAACATGGAGAATAAGTATCTTTCACCGTCTGAGTACCGTCTGGGTTATAGCAGACGGTGGTTGCCGCATGCGCTATGGAGAAAAGGGCAACGAGAACGAAGCTGCCGGTTATAAGACGCTGCATCTTCACCGAGAATGCAGAAATGGAACGAAGCCCAGTTGTATGGAGTAGACTTTTCGAAGAAAAAGATGGCCAAGAGCATCAATAAAGGACACACCAGACTTGACCGAGAAGCCCGATAGGCATTGACATATAGCGAACCCTTTATTCCAGTATGAGCCACGTGTGGTACCCGTGCAACAATTAGAGGGGCCGAGTTTCTCTGATCCGAGTTGCATGTTTCATCGAAGAACGACAGAGGCTTTGAAGGTGGCCTTAATTACAGCCTTTGTGGAGCCGAGCTGAATAGGGGACAATCAAGGATAACCCAGCTTGATGGTGAACCTAGTCCCACGTCTCACCAGCCGAAGCATACTGGGTGGTGTTGGAGTCTGCCTGTCGGCACAGGTTTGCCAATCATGTTGTATGAGTGAGAATAATAGATCGATCTGCCTGCAGTAATAGCCAGAAGACATCCCATTTTGACGTAAGTGGGTTCGTGCTACCCGGTATCAGAGAGGAAGAGGATATAACTGGGCAGCTTTGGGGTCTCTTTTGATCGCTTCAGCTGGTGCCAAGGGCCATTCATCTCAGCGTTGCTGATCCTAAGATTTACCTGTACATAAGGAAGGAATTAATGCAATCGTACGAGGTACTCGATATTTTGACTGGTGGTGGATCTGCCTTGCAATCAAATTATGTGGGTTGCGATCGGGGTAGATCCAATTCGTTCAGGTGGGTGCGGATGCTGCACCGCGCGAGGCTGGTACAGTAGATGGGACGCCGGGCTCGGCACGGGGCTTTGGGGGGTTGATCACAGGGTTGTTGATATTTAGCAAAAGAACCTTGGGGGCTGTTCTGGACCGTTGCAAAAGGAGAGGAAACGCCTCAGGGCCGGATGCTGCCGCTCGGGAAAACTAGCGACGAAGAATATGGAGTCGGGTTGGAGTCTCGCGTACCTAGTACGGAGGAGCACAAGGCCATCTATGTCCATCCATGCGAATGGAAAAGCGCCCTCGGCACTGCAAAAAGTGGCACGCGCTCAAATGGAAACTTTCCCGAGTTTCAATTTGCGGTTGTCCGGATTTCTCTGCCCTGAATGCCTTTCCTATGTTTTCCGGTGGTGCAGCCCTTTTCCGTTTTTCTTCACCAGAGATTAAGGAAAAAAAGAGATGACAATGAAGCCTTGAATTGACCTGCCCATCGTGCAGTCATGACCTCGATTGATGACCTTTTCCGCAAACCCAACGCCGCTTCCAAGCGAAAACTCGAGGACCCGACCAAGTCATTCTCCAATGCCCTCTCCAACAAATCTGCCAAACTGACCAACGGCTCCTCTCCACGCAGCTCCGCCAATGGTTCCTCACATGACGATTCCACCTCCAATGGCTCAGAGAGCAAAGCTGCTTTTGTGCAGGATGAGGGCCTAGATGATCGAGATGATCTCGAAGCCGGACCCGCACGGCCGCCGGCAGACGTGGAGGACGAAGTCGGAGACGATGAGGAGGGGCGCTTCTTTGGCGGCGGTGTCACAAAGCAAGAGAGAGAAGTAATTGATTACATCGATAAAAACGAGGCTGGAGAGGTGGAAGAAAAGATTGATTCCACATGGCTGCGCCGCACGGCCATCAACTTTGAACGGAAAATCAACAAGAACGCAGAACTACGAGCCAAATACGAGAATGAGCCTATGAAGTTTGTGAGCAGTGAGGCCGATTTGGATGCTGAAATCAAAGGTTTGAGTCTATTGAGTGAACACGGCGAGTTGTACGCCGAATTCGTCAAAATGGGCTGTGTGGGCAGTTTAGTTGGATTGCTTGCGCATGAGAATACCGATATTGCCATCGCTGTCTGTGAGTTGCTCGCGGAACTGACAGACGAGGACTCGACCACTACCGAAGAACAATGGAAGACTTTGGTCAAGGCCACGATTCAGAGTGACATCGTGGATCTTCTTACGAGCAACCTCGGCAGACTGGACGAGGATAACAATGAGAGCGACCGAGCAGGGGTTTATCATATCTTGAATGTTGTCGAGAACATCTTGTCCGATACCGGAAACTTGGAGGCCGTCGGGGCGAAAGATGCCCTGATGGAATGGCTCCTCTCAAGGATAAAGAAAGCGGATCCTTATGCGAGGGGAAAGGTTGGACAGAATCGCCAATACGCCGCGGAAATCCTAGCCATACTTCTTCAGAGCAACAAAAACAATCGAGATCGTCTAGCACGGAAAGACGGAGTCGACTCTCTTCTTGAACTCGTTAGCGCGTATCGCAAGCGAGATCCCGAAAAGGACTCGGACGAGGAAGAGTTTGCCGAAAATCTTTTTGATTGCTTAGCCTGTGTGGTGGAGGAACGCATTGCCGGCGAGAAGTTTGTCGAAGGGGAAGGTGTCGAACTCTGTCTCATCATGCTCCGAGAAGGTCGATTGGCTAAAGCACGGGCTTTGCGAGTGCTCGACCACGCCATGAGTGGAGGCAATGCGACAGCTGTCTCGGTGAGGTTGGTGGACGCGGCTGGACTCAAGACGATCTTCGGCATGCTTATGAAATCCCACAAAATGGAGCGAAGCTTGGTCGAGCATCTCATTGGAATCCTGGCAAGCATGTTGAGGTATCTGCCGGGAGGGTCTGCCGAAAGGATACGGACTCTTGCCAAGTTTGTGGAAAACGACTACGAAAAAATCACAAAGCTCGTCGAATTGCGGCGCGAATACAAGACGAGATTGAGTAAAGTGGATGCGCACATTCAAAGGGAGCGACAGGATCTCAACCAAGCCCAAGTGGAAGCACAGGCCGACGAGTGGTTCTCCCGGCGACTAGACGCCGGCCTCTTCTCACTCCAGGCCATTGAGTTGATCCTCAGCTGGATGGTGGCAGAAGACAACGGAGCGAGACAGACCATCACCATACTCCTCGGCGAAGACGGGCTTAAGATACTCGAGCGGAGTCTACGGGATCAACTCAACGGGATGGATCCTGGACAAAGTGATGAAGCGAAGGCTACGGAGGAAATGCTGGAGGCATTACTTTTGTGCGTGGAGCAATGAAGCTGGTGTTTTGTGAATGCGATATCTAATCATGCCATTAGGGAGGAACGAATTGCTGATAGCTGACATGCATGGATTCTATGCATAATTGTGATACCCATTCTCATTCATGATTCATGAATTCACATTCCATCACTGTCACCCTCTCTAGAGCTTACGAGGTAGCCGCAGTCGCATCTACATCCAAAAATGGTTAGTGCATTCTGTGAATAAAGCGGCAAGAATTGCCACGGCGCCTTTCACTTTGATACGCGCCAAAAAGATCCTCGAGGACATTCCTCTCCGCAGCAACCAACATCCACGAATCCTTACACTGTGCCCAGTGTCGGGCGTCTTCTCTCGCGGCTCCGGGTCTCTGGCTGTCTGTCACTCTGTGGGTGGCTCTCCAGAGGAAATCTGAAGTCTTGACTGACAATTCAGTGCCCTTTGTCAGAGCGCATTCTGAAGACTTGAGGTGCGACTCAGAAGGGAGGGAGAATCGAATTCGCCTCCGCGTCTGTCTTCTCCTTTCCTCCCTCAGCTTTCGCGTAATTCCCCAATCGCCTATCGTTTGCTACCGCTCCCGGAATATCGATCGCCCCTCATGGCGGAATACGAGGTCAAATATGAACCGAACGGCTATTATGGGGAAGCTGGTGCCTACGAGGTGGACGCTGGGGAACAAGACATCACATCTGAAGACTGCTGGAAAGTCATCAGTTCGTTCTTCGATATCAAGAAGTTGGCGTCTATGCAGATAGACTCATTCAACCATTTCATGCGCTCGGGTCTGCAAGATCTAGTCAATGAAAAGGGTGGTGTCACCTTGGACCATGCACAAAATGTGGATGAAAATGATCCGAATCCAGTTGTTATCAAGAGACATGAAGTCAAATTCGGCAAGGTCACACTCAGCAAGCCGAACCAGGTCGAACCTGATGGCACTACGACAGACTGTATGCCTCACGAAGCACGGATGAGGAGTCTGACATACGCGAGCCCAGTCTACGTTAAAATGACGAGAAGGACATACTACGCAAAAGAGCGCCCATGGGACGAAGACGACAAAGACTCGGGCGTCATGAAGGAGGACGGCACTGAGCTCTTCTGGAGAGAGGGCGAAGACGAAGATGACTTTGACAGTGACAAAGAGGTATACATTGGAAAGATACCCATCATGGTCAGGAGTATGACCTGCCACTTGGTGAGCGAGAAATTCCAAAGCGAGCGAGATCTCTTCGCATGGGGAGAATGTCCCTACGACCAGGGAGGCTACTTCATCATCAACGGCAGTGAGAAAGTGCTCATCGCTCAAGAACGAAGTGCTGGAAATATCGTCCAAGTCTTCCAGAAGGCAGCGCCTTCCCCGTTCACCCACCTTGCAGAAATCAGATCCGTCATCGACCGTGGCGCCCGTATGATGTCTCAGTGCACAGTCAAGCTCTTCCGCAGAGTGGATGGGCCCGATGGTACCAAGATCGACAACCCGATCCGAGTGCAACTACCATATGTCAAGCAGGACATTCCTCTTGTTATTGTCTTCCGAGCCTTGGACATAGTGTCCGACGCCGATATCCTGGAGAAGATCTGCTTCGATCAAAGCGATAAAGAGATGATGGATATGCTGATGGGCTCACTCCAAGAAGGTCAGGCCATCCAGGGTGCAGATCTAGCTCGAGATTTCATTGCGCGCCGAGGTAACATTCCGACTTTGAGAAGCCATGAACGGCAGAAGCATGCCACAGACATCTTGCAGAAAGAGTTTCTACCCCATATCGGACAAAGCCCAGATGCAACCGCTAGAAAGGCATTCTTCCTAGGCTATATGGTCAACCGATTGCTGAAATGCGCTCTCGGACGTGCGGAACCGGACGATCGAGATCACCTTGGAAAAAAGCGACTCGATCTTGCTGGACCTCTCATGACCAACCTCTTCCGTTTACAATTTGACAAAGCTACGAAAGATTTCTACAGATATATGCAGAAGCGTGTGGAG